CAACTGTTACAGGCAGAGCAAACCAACACCGCTTGCTTCCCCTCATTTCGTCGTCGACTTAAACAGTAACTATGATGGAGGACTTTAACAGTGAGACTGATAGTGATTACACTAGCTACTGGAGAGATTGGGTAAGTTTAAGTCTGTTTCTTTTGAACCTAAGTACTGTTGGAGGGGCGATGCGGCTTGGATATTCGTCTCAGGAGATGGGTCGTGGCTGCCCTCACGATGCAATTGCGGCTGGTGAAAACATTGAGGCCTCTCCTAGAGAGCTTGCTGGAGCTCAATTTCACCTCATGCGCACTAGCATCATCCTACCACGCACCCACTACCCCTCCACTACATCCTAGCCCACTCCCTTTCACGATGACCGAGTCTTCGACTAGTGAGGATCTTTTCGCTCACGCTCGGGGCAATGAATCTAATGAAAGATTTTACAATCTCTGTTTCTGGGGACGCAATAATCCCCCATCTGCGATGCCTTGCTCACAGTATACCACGCAGTTCATCTCCTCCCGCGGAAACGAGTATTTCTGCGAGATCGACGAGGAATACTTGACCGATCGCTTCAATCTTACCGGCCTCAACACTGAAGTTCCTTACTACCAGTATGCGCTGGACCTTGTGACCGACGTCTTTGATCTCGATGCGGATGATGATCTACGCGAGCAAATCGAGAAGTCCGCCCGTCATCTCTACGGCCTCGTTCACGCAAGATACATCGTCACTACTCGTGGTCTTGGGAAAATGGTATGTGTTATTGTCACCAGTGCACCACGTCTGACTATAGGATTAACAGCTGACCTCTTCTTTCTTCGCTTAGGCTGAAAAGTACAAAAATGGCGACTTCGGCAAATGCCCCCGCGTTTTGTGCGAGGGTCAGCACCTCCTCCCGATGGGCTTGCACGATATTGCCAACCAGAGCACTGTCAGACTCTACTGCGCTAAGTGCGAGGATATCTACAATCCTAAGTCTTCTCGTCACTCCTCTATCGACGGCGCCTACTTCGGTTCTTCTTTCCATAGCATCTTCTTTCAGGTGTTCCCCAATCTGGTTCCTCCCAAGAGCACCCGCCGCTATGAGCCCCGCATCTACGGTTTCCGCGTGCATGCCAGTGCCGCTCTGGCCCGCTGGCAGGATCGCTATCGTGAGCAGATGAGAAGCCGTCTTAAGGAAGCCGGCGTGGAGGTGAAATACGCCGAAGACAGCGAGGTGGAGGATGACGATGAGGAAGAGTCTGAGATTGAAGACCAGGCCTCCGAAGTCAAGGAAGAGAAGCTTTTGGGTGACGCTGCCTCGGGTCGTATGGACCTGGGCAACTGAATCGCCCTTCAGCGTCTCTCCAAGAGGAGCTCTGCACATCCCCCGTTGCGCTTCTCGACCGTCGCAATTGGCGCCGAGTGCGGACGGTCCTTTTCATCTTTCTGACACTTTCTCACCAGCCGGCTTTAACCGAATACCAGGCGTATTACGGAGTTTTCATTTTCATTTGCATGTAATTGACAATCATGATGGTGAACACTGGGTGGGCGTTGGCGAGTTTTGAAAACGGCTTTGCCCTCCTTTTCCCTTCTAATGTGTACTACTTTCACATCCTGCCTTGTTCTAGGACATCCCTCCGGACGTCAATCGTGATGAAGCAAGGATTTTTGTAATTCATGAAATGACTCGTGATAGTCAGCAGACGCTTCTTTGACCAATTCTTCTATCTTGTAGAATCGTAGCGTAGGACAAGTCAGTAGAGCCTCAAACTAAAACATAATATAGCACTATTGAGGCAGCGCTACTTTTTCTGTAGCTCCGCTAACGTATGAGCAATGGCCCTTGCCAGCTCGTCTCCCTTCATCCAGGCGTCGTCATGGTGGCCTCTGAGAGAGAGTATTTCAACTCGTCTCTGACCACTCCCTTGCGGTGTGCTGTCTTCCCAGCGACTTAGTGCAGCTTGCATCGCCTGCTGCTGGGCAGCATCCACAAGCCCATCTTCGGGCGAGTGCGCCAGCACAGCCAATCGCCCAGATGTCCATCCTTTCTCAACTCCCTCAGAGCCTTTCACAGAGGCTGGGGAGGCGGCATCCCACACGGCTTCGTCGGAACCGAAGGCCCCTTCAATAAACTCTTGATACGCAGAAATATGCCGATGGGTATCACGCAGTAGTCGTAAATCATAAATACCCGCCATCCCCAGTATCGCGGTTGGCGGAGAAACGACAGCGGCAGCGCCGTCCCGGAAAGCCCCCATCACAGATTGAAAGGCCAAAGTCGCACCAGCGCTGTGCCCGACGAGGATATACTTGGTCCCGAACCCATACTTGCGCTGCAGAAGATCCAGAGCTGCTTGCACGTCGCGGATATGGTCAGGATGTTTGGCAACGCGGTATTCAGTAGGATCGGTGTGGTCTGGATTCTGTGGGTAACCCGGATGGGCGCTCAATCGGTACTCGATCGATGCGAAGGCCGCGATGTGTGGAAGGGTCGTGGAGTTATATGTTGGGGATGTGGTGAGGATGGACTCGGCCGGGGAGAGGTACGAGTCGGCTGTTTGAGTCGGGTCTCTCCAGGCTCCGCCGTGGATCAGTCTTGCTCATGTATTGTCAATCAAGACTTCCTTGGAATCTGGGGGTTCTGGGTTGTATACATCACCCAATAGCCTGCGTTGAGGTTGTCTGATACGGTGGAGATTGTCACCGTTTGGAGCTTGTGATCTCCATACTGAAGCGTTTCTGTAGGCATTACGACGTTATATTTGAGACCAATAGCTAGTTCTCGATGCACTGTACAAGTAACTCGATTGTCAAGTAGACCGAAAATGAGTTATCGATCAAGAGGGGCCGAGGTGGCATAGCCACTGCCGATTACTAGTGACCATGGTCTCCAATGGTGCAGCCGCTCAATACTTCTAAAATCAGACCTTCATGATTGTACACGCTAAATGCTGATGAGCTCTGTCGTTAGTGATGCGATGAAGAAATCAGTCATAAATCCAGCCAAAATCTGAGATCGCCCGAGTACAAAGAGGAAAGAATTGCAGTGTGATGTTGTTGTCTCTATTCCCAAGCGGTCTTGGCACGCTAAACCTGTTCTGGCCTTAGGCGGTGGGAAATTGTTCAATTCATCCACACAAACCAACGCCGTCTATCAACCATCGTCGCTGTCAAAAGCATTCCCCGGCCTGCTATATCCAACATGGCGGAGTAAGTGATGATATCGCGGAAATAATATCAAGAGCGTTTGACTAATCGATTAAAATAGGAACGAAACCCCCCTCACGGCCGTCAAGGTCGAGGCCTTGGTATGATCATCTTCCCCAGGAAAAATCCCACCCCACTTTATCCAAGGTGGTCAATGAAGAATCTATACTCATGCGACGCGTCTACAGGTGGTCATGAAGATCATGAAGCACTGCTCTCAAACTTTCCCGACGACAGCGACCGGATCGATCGTTGGCATGGATGTTGGTGGAACCCTGGAAATCACAAACAGCTTCCCATTCCCCGTCGTCGAGGTGCCTGCCGAGTCGCACTTTGACAATACTGCTGCCAACCCTGCTGCCGCCGCTCCTCGCGCCAAAGCCAATACCGTCTACCAGGCGGAGATGATCCGTATGCTTCGGGAGGTTAACGTGGACGCCAACAACGTCGGTTGGTATACGAGCGCCAACATGGGCAACTTTGTCAACATGAACGTGATCGAGAACCAGTTCTTTTACCAGAAGGAAATGAACGAGAGGACAGTAGCCCTCGTGCACGACGTCAGCCGTAGCTCTCAGGGAAGCCTGAGCCTCAGAGCGTTCCGCCTGTCTCCCAAATTCATGGCGGCTTTCAAGGAGAACAAATTTACCTCAGAGGAGTATGTCTACGATTTTCCGTCTTCAGCACGACGCTTTTCAGACGATGAGAACATTGCGATGCTAACTGAATGATAGGTTGCAAAAGTCCGGCCTGAGATACCAGGATATCTTTGTCGAACTCCCCGTGGAGATTCACAACTCTCACCTGATCACCTCCTTCATCCACCAGCTTCAGACTCCCAACATTCCGGCTCCTACGGATCTCCCCCCATCGCTGGCCGCCCTGGAATCCGGCCCTTTCGTCAAGTCGAATGTTCTCGCCCCCAACTACGACAACCTCACCCTTAGCATCGACCCCTTCCTGGAGAAGAACTGCGACCTGCTCCTGGACAGCATTGAGACTCACCACACTGAGACCAACAACTTCCAGTACTACCAGCGCTCGGTCGCGCGCGAGCAGCAGAGAATCAGCGCTTGGCAGCAGAAGCGCAAGCAGGAGAACGCCACTCGTGCAGCGCTCAAGCAGCCTCTTCTGCCCGAGGATGAGTGGCAGCGCCTGTTCAAGCTGCCCCAAGAGCCTAGCCGCCTGGAGAGCATGCTGAACAGCCGGCAGGTGGATCAGTACGCGCGCCAGATTGACAGCTTTGTTTCGTCCACGACTGGAAAGATGTTTGCTGTGAAGGGCAACCTGTTGCCCGGTGAGACCGCCAAATAAGCGCGTGGCCGGGCTCGTGATGATTTATCTCGATCTATGGGGATTTTGGGACTTGCATGACCTTATGGCGTAGGCAGGAAAAATTCTTATATTCCACTGTTAATATGTCTCCTGTTTGCTTATTCCCTTTGACGAATAGAGTTACGGGTATGACCTGAGACCACATCCGTTCTGAGTTGATGTATAGCCTACTATTTTGGAACTTTTCTAGACGCTGTCTTTGAGATCGACAGGCACTGGATCATGGATGCGCCAGGCACAGGCACCGGTACCATACCCTAACCTTGTTAGGGTAGTGCTTCGCACGTGAGCAATCATGACCTCATAATGCATCAGTTGCAATCGATAACCCGATTAGATAAGGTAGTAGACAATGCGACAAGCTACAATGAGCTCACTCAGCCATGCATTTCTGGTCTTGGATATTGCCATTTTTCTTATCTTGCATTCCATAGAATCATAATAGAGACCTAGAGCCTTTTGCCGCGCCATTCTCTATGTACAACAGTAATCTCGACATCTGGATTGTGAGTCTCCTCCATACTGGGCTTGTATACCTCTACATCATACTAGTATACTCGAGCAAGATACTCGTTTCAATTTGACCCCTATCTTGCATATTCGGATGCTAAGCTGGATTCACAGGCCGGAGCATTTGCTGCAGTGACCGTCGACTTGATCGTGTACCCCTTCGACACCCTCAAAACCCGAATCCAATCGCCCGATTACAAGCGACTCTACAAGGATGCAGCGACAGGAGCAGTGCGCCGGAGAGCCCTCTATGGAGGTTTATACCAGGGAGTTTGGAGCGTGGTGCTGTCGACAATACCAGGTTGTACGTTCTCCCGTTCCTCTGTGTATCTGGGCGTGAACGAACCCCAACAAATGAAACAGCAGGAGCCTTCTTCACCACCTACGAAGCAGTCAAGTACACCCTGACGAACGCGTCAACGCACCACCACAATCCAGACAACAACCCTCTCCCCTTCACACACTCCCTCCCGCAACCCATCATCCACGCCATCTCCTCCTCGACCGCGGAAATGGTCGCCTGCCTCATGATGACGCCCGCCGAAGTCCTAAAGCAGAACGCGCAGGTCACCAACGTGAACGCCAGCAAGGGCGGGCAGGACGCGAAGAGCGCCATGACGCAGGTTATCGCTCGGTTCAAGCATCGGCCCTGGAAGCTGTGGAGCGGTTACACGGCGCTGGTGGGGCGCAATCTGCCCTTTACGGGGCTGAATTTCCCCATGTTTGAGTTTTTCAGGTCGCATCTCGTGGAGTGGAGGAAGAGGCGGAAGGAGGATGGTGGGATACAGACGCGGGAGTGGGATCCGCTGGTGGAGAGGGCGGCGCTGACGGGGATGTCGGCCTCTATGTCCGGGATGATCGCGTCGGTCGTGACGACACCGATTGATGTGATCAAGACGAGAATGATGCTTTCGGCCAGTGAGAATAACAATGGTGGTGGGGATAGAAGCGCGAAGAAGAAGACGGCTGGCCGGGGAACGCTCAAAGTGGGGAAGGAGATCTATCGCAATGAAGGGATCAGAGGTCTCTTCAAGGGCGGTGCAATCCGCGCTGGGTGGACGGCTGTCTCGCTCAGTATGTATCTGAGCATGTATGAGGCGGGAAGGTTCTATCTAGAGAACAGACGGCGGGAGAAAGATGGGTTGAACACACGGGTTGAAGTAGATGGATCGAAAGAGGAGGCTGCCATCTAGGTCAGTATGTGGCACTGAAACCGCGATTCTGGGCATCATGGGTTTCGTTTCAGCCGATTTGGTTAACTGTCTTGCATCTCTGTAGCACTAGATTATCACTAGAGCATCCTAAGCTGGTTCATAGAGTAGAGAACCTGTCCTGCGCCATGGCATGGATTCATTTAACATACTGGCAAAGAGGGGGCAGAGTAAAGAATGAATTGCATTGCTAATCATACACACCAACTATTTCAAGTCGGTGATATACTGAATTCCACAACAGTAAGATTGAATCATGCCTTTCGAGGTATATCGTCGTCAATGATCATTTTATCGTCCATATTCATTCCGTCATTTCAATCATTAAGCTGAAATCGTTTCAGCCTCCACTGTCGATAATATAGCAACCTTAGCAAGAAATCATAGATTGGTCAGTTTCTTGAACCAACTGGACATCTTTGCGCCAGAGGTAGGAGGCGGCACAGCAGGATACCGGCCGTCGTACGACCTCATTCCACGGTCCCTCTCATAATCTCCACTGCCAGAGCTGCTTTTCGCACGATCAGATCGTCGAGCTTCACGCTTCCGCGCGCGCAGCTCTTCGATCTCTTCATCGCCGAGGCCCGGGTATCTGGCCCGTCGACGAGCCCGGCGGCGCAAAGCACGTCGCGCCTCCTCGTCCGACGAGATGGAGTGTGCGTTTTGGGCACCCGGAGGAAGTGGCACATCAAGCACCGTTGGCATGATTGGAGGGGGCTCGGGAGGATCAGCCGCCTGCGAATCGACCCAGGACGTGGTCTTATCCCTCCGAGCTCCAGACATCATGGGTGGAGGTCTGACCTGCTCCGGGGCTCTCGACCCTCGCCGTCTCGATTTCTCGCCTTCATCGACGGATCGGTGAGACCGTCGTGGTCTTTGTTCCACGTCATGACGGTGATCAAGATAGTCATCTTCCGGTGCTCTCTCAGAAGCACGCGGAGTGCGCCGCCTGGATCCTGAATTGTATGCTGGGTTTTCGAGCATCTCTGCCTCCCGCTGTCTTCTCCGTTCTCGTCGTTCTGCAGCTTTAGCTTCTGCGCGAGCTTCTGCCTCCCTGGCCTCTTGTTCCTCCTTGGCACGCTGTGCTTCGCGAGCCGCTCGGCGGGCTCGCCTTTCCTCTCGACGTCTTGCTTCTCTCTCTTCATCTTCTCGCATTTGCTTCTCGTGCATCTCTCGCCCGCGCTCTTGTTCTCGCTCTCTCCGCCTGGCGCGTCTTTCTTCGGCTTCCTTAGCCTCATCCTCCCGAAATTGATCAGAAGGCGCATGGCGTGATGTGCGGTGCGACCGGCGTGCCGCTCTCCTAGCCTCAGCTTCTTCCGCTTCGGCGTCTGGTATGCCTCTCATAGGCCCGCCGTCGGTAACGAAGCCTTCGTCGTCGATATCAGGTTTCATGGAGCGGCGTCTCCTTTCTTCTCGCCTCAAGCGTCGAGCCTCCTCTCGCTCTGGTTCCGTCATGTACCTGGCATCTTCATCACGGTAAGAGCGAGATTTCTGACGATCTGGCATTTCAGGGCGCGTGTTCCTTCGCAGCGAGCCGATGAGACCCATGAAACCACCAGTGTCTTGTTTCTTCGGCAAGGTATTAGAGCGCTTTACGCGTCGTTCCCTCGGTGCTTCCACAAATGCCAGATCATCCGGACCCGATATTACATCTGGTGCTTGGTGGTTTTGATCTGGCTCGACCATGACCGCGTCATCTTCATACGCTCTGGACCGCGACTGGTGTGACGAGGATATTAGATATTTGAACGGTGCAATAGTAAATACATGGTTCAGGACGATAACTCACCTTTGTACTGGATCTTTTCCTGGAACCTCGGAATTCTCTAGAGTCTTCCTTCGGTGAATGGCCGTCCACCTCATCCCGGTCGACGACGACAATATCGTCATCAATAGCGTATGGATCACGTACGCCTAAAGGTCATGTTAGGCACCTCCTGAAATTCTTGGGGGACTGTTAACTTACTGGATCTTCTCCGCGTCCCACGCGGTCTTTCCTTGTGCCTCGATGCACTAACTCCCATCATCCTCGCTGCTTTGTCCGACACTTTAAATCTCTCATCCGGTGGAGGGGTTGGCATTGCGGCCTCATCCATGTCGATGGACGGCCGCCTAGATGCCTGCTTAGACGCGGACGCCCCATGTCTACGTGATGACTTCGTTCTGGTCGGCGCAGGAGGACCGCCAAGGATGAAGTTGGAGAAGGTTGTCGCCCGGTCCTCTTTGCTTCCTTGTCGTTTGTCTCTGTCAGAGCCAGACGTCTTGTCCGCCTCATGAGGCACTTCTTGTCGCCTTGAATGTCTGGTGGACTTTGACCGTACGACTCCGCCGGGTGAAGGTTCCCTTCGGCTAGACCTGACCTCTCTATGGGCTGATTTCCTAGGAGTGGGAGAAGCACCCCAGAAGCCCCACGAAGCAACACCTGGAGTTCGCTCAACTCGAGCGCGCTCTTTCTTCGCTGATCTTCCTGGTGCCGCGGGCTCAGGTGGAGGAGTAGGCGGACCACCAGCATCTGCACCAGGCCCTTCAGCAGGTACATCTCCAGCTGGTGGTTCCTCCATGGTCGGTTCAGCCTTTCTGGACTTGGAGCTTTTCTTGATTTTCTTGGTGGCATTTGGCTCCTGGCTAGGCGGCTCTATAGGCTTAGGTTCCGGTTTGGGCTCGGCCTCAAGTGCCCGCTCTGACCCTGGCTGAGGTTCTGGTTGCTGCTGGGGCTCAGGAACAGCCTCAGATTCCGGTGGCGCGGGTTCTGTTTCGGCAGCCTTGGCCTTCTTTTTCTTCTTTTTCTCAATCTTCGAGAGCTGTACAGGCGCAGGTGCGGGCTCAGGATCAGGCGCAGGCGCTGGTTCGGGTTCTGGTTCAGGCTCAGGTTGCACAGGTTCCGGTTCCGGTTCTGGCTCAGGCGCTGGTGCCGGCTCAGGCTCAAGCTCCACGAGCTTACCCTTCTTCTTTTTCTTCTTCTCGGCTTTTTTGGACAAAGGAGCCGGAGCAGGCTCAGGCTCACGTGGTGGATCAACCGATGGCTCCGGCTCGGGTTCGGGAGCAGGAGGTGTAGGTTCCTGGAAGTCGTCCTCAAAGGCGTCTGGGAAGCTTCCCGGCACAGACTCCCGAGAGATCTTGGGCGCTTCGACAGGCTCAGGCGGGATCTCTACGGCAGGTTCTTCCTGAGGGGGTTCCGGTGGTGGTACGGTCTCTTTAGCTTTCGCTTTCTCCTTCAGCCTCTCTTTTTTGGCTTGCTCGAGGGCTTTGATGCGCTCCGCAACTGAGAGCTTGGCGGATGACTTGGTCTTGGAGGTGCTTTTTGGTGGCGGCGCGGCTGGCGCGGCTGGCTCGTCAATGACAGGCGCTTCAGGCGCTTCAGGCATTGGTGAATGCCCAATGTCACCGAGAAGATCAGCAGGAGGTTCGGGGGCAGGTACAGGTGGTTCTGGTTCGGGCTCAGGTTCCTTTGCTGGCTCAATGAGCTTTGGCTTCTCCTCTGATTTCTTCCTTGTAGCCTTTGGTCTGGAGCCCATTGTGGCTGCACCGAGCGTCGCCCAAAATCCCCTCGCTGCCTTAGCGGGAGTTTCATCCACACCAAAGGATCCCTTTTTGGTTCCTTTAGGAGGCTTGGTGTCATTATCGAACAGGAGATCCTCCGCCACTTCTTCCGGAACCGGGGGGTCGGGATCCAGTCCTAGTGAGGGAGGTGTTGGGGCGGGGGGCGGCGGGTCATCGGCAATCTTGTTTTTCTTGGACTTTTTCTTGTCCTTGGAAGAGGTCCAGATGCCCCAGCTATCCTCGACTACAGGTTCTTCCTGCACTGGCACGGAAACCGGCTGAGGCTCTGGTTGTGGTTCAACGACCGGCTCCGGTTCTGGCTCGGGCTCAGCAGCAGGCTCAGGCTCAGGTTCCACAGGAGGTTCAGGAGCCACTTCTGGCGCAGGCTCTGCTTCTGCTGCTGGAATCTCGATGTCCTTTCCAGGTATTGGAAGGCCTTTCTTTTTTAATGCTTTCTCGCGCTTTTTCCGCTCCTTTGATGACAAATTTATCCAATTGTCGTAGAGTGGATCATCGGGCAATCCAGGGGCTTTCTTCTCAGCTTCAGGCTCAGGCTCCGGCTCAGGTTCGGGTTCAGCCACAGGCTCAGGCTCGGGTTCGGGTTCAGGTACAGGTTCAGGTACAGGCTCAGGCTCAGGCTCAACCGCCTTTCCCTTCTTCTTCTTCTCTTTCTTGGGAACATCCCAGCCTCCCCAAGCGTCATCAGGTGCTTTTTGCTCTGGTGCAGGTTCTGGTTGCGATTCAGGGGCCGGTTCTTCAACAACAGGGGCAGGCTCTTCAACAACCGCTCCCTTTTTGGACTTTTTGTCCTTCTTGCCCACTGATCCCCAAGCGATTCCCCAATCGTCTTCCGCGGGGGCGGGCTCGGGTGCGGGAGGTTCCGGGGCGGGAGACTCCTCGGGAGCAACTGTCTCCAGTACACCTTTCTTCTTTTTGTCTTTCTTCTTGGTCGAAACACCCCAGCCCCAGTCATTATCATCGGCCATCTCGGGAGCCTTCTCTGGCTCCTTCTTTTCTTCAGCTGTGCCCCAAACGTTGTCTGTTTTCGGTCCCTCAATGACAGGCTCAGGGGGCGCCTTCGGCTCCTCGGCACCTTTAGTAAGCCCTTTCTTTGCCTTTCGCTTTTCCTTCTTGGAAAGACCGGCCGCCCAGCTATCATCTACCGCAGGTGCTGGTTCAGGAGTTGGCAGCGGTTCAGGCTCAGGCTCGGGTTCCTTGAGGAGTTCCTCCTCCACATCTTTCTTTTTCTTCTTCTTATCCTTGGCGCTAACTGGCGCGAAATCAGCCCAAATATCCTCTTCAGGCTTCTTCTCTTCTGTAGGAGGGTCCTGCTGCCCAGCATCGCCCGAGTCTCCAAAGTCCCCGAAATCAAAACCACCAGGGGTCTTTGAGGAGCTTTTCTTACTGCCAATGGCACCCCAAGGGTTGGTACTCTTTCCACT